AGTTGAACCAAGTCGGGTATCCTGTCATTGTGTGTGGCATCTCTGACAAGTGTCGCTCGTTTCACCTCGTGGCACTTTTCATCACATCTCAACGCTATGAGGAGATTTATGTGACAGCGCTGACCGAGCTCCGCAGGGTTATTACTTCCGTGTCTGGTGGGCGCCAACTGTTGGTCAAGTTCGTCATGGCCGATGCTGAAGCTGCCCAACAGAACGCAGTGAAACGAGTCTTTGGTGTCGATTGTGAATTCGTATACTTGATGTGCTTCTATCATGTGATGGCCAAGGTTCATGAAAAACTCAAGGGCGTACCGGAGCACTTGTCCAAACAAGTGATGGCGGACATCTATGATCTCCATTTCACGGATAGCCAAGATGTCTATGACGAACAAGTGATACAGATTCTAACCAAGTGGGCGGGAGAAGAGCAGCTGATTTGGTTTCAAGGCTATTTTGAGCGTATGTGGGTGCGAAGTTCATTTTGGCGATGGCAATGCTTCCATACCCCTAGTGGATACGCCACTACAAATAACCCGGTGGAGCAGTTCAACCGATTGATCAAGCGTGACTACACTCTCCGGACCAAATATAAGATTGGAACACTGTTCCAGCTGCTGGCGGATTGTTGCGGACACCAGTCGGTAACTTCAAGAATCTTCAAGGAATCCCCTGAAGCCACACAGCAGTTAAACGCAAGGGTTAAGGATTTTCGCAACCGAGATCTTCTTGTGGACATGACTCCCAGCCGGTCCAGCATCGACTTCCTACTTGCTTCCCCAAACCCAGACCTGATTCGTGTGATGTCACGTGGCTGTGAGCGTATCTATCTTCCGGAACTAGGACGCAGTCGCGAAGTAGCCCCAGTGTCGGCCCAGATGGGTGTGAATTACGCGCGAATGGAGGTGTTTTTTTGGGCAGCCTGATGGAGGATGGCATGTGGATTTGAGTACGAATTCGTGCGGATGCAAATACTACTTCAAATTTGCAATCTGCATCCACGTGTTTTTTGCTCTGCAGATTAAGAACTACACGGGGCTGGATGGAAAAAGGACTCTAGTCAATCGTTCCGTGACGAAAAAACGCCGCCGATCGGATACTCCTAGTGTCCGAGTGCCTGCTGGTCGCCCACTGGTAAACCGACATGCGTTGAATACGGAGTGAAATTCGTTACCCGTAAGTACAGTCGCATCTCGCTAAACAAAGAAACTCTAGCTTCGTGTCTATTTTTTTCAGGTTAAAATCAGCATCACGTTCAACTTAAATTTTAACTTCAATTTAAACTACTCTTGGTTAGCTTTCATTCTTTAACTTACCTCAACAATGGTAAGCCAACACGATGGGCCCCCCACTGATGCAGCCCCACCAACAGCTTTTCCAGCCTTCTTCAAGTGGTGCCAAGCGCACCTCCGCGCGCGTGGGTGGGGGCGTCTCGATGAGGCTGCGGCCCGTTACCTGAGGTCGTGGGTACATGTCCAACGAGGTAATACCTCAAATACCGGTGATGCTATTAAGCGTCTGTTAGATGCGGTACCACAAGGTCGCATCACCAAGGCCCGCCTCACCGAGGCAGCTGCTCAAGGAGAGGATGCTGGTGAGGCAGAATGGGTATTGCCATCAGGAACTGACTTAAGTGGTCAACCTACCTACCAAATGCGAACCATCCTGGCAGATCGCCGAATTGATGGTCACGTGCAGTTTCTCACCTCGTGGGAACCAACATGGGAGCCGGCCACTAACCTTCCTTCAAACGAGATACGGTCGTTTCGAAGACGCCAGCGCCGCCGTGTAGAGCACGCCCACATTGAAGCGGAAGCTTTTGAAGAATAAACAAGTATCAACAGCCTCAAAACACATATATTTTTATAATGCATTGGTGCTGTCTTTTTCTGCTTGTCATCCCCATGTCAGCAGCACCCCAGACCATCCGCAAGAGCAGTACAGGGCCTAGACCCTTCAACATGCCCCGCACAAGCCCATAATGTCGCTTCCGTGTTGGCGATGACAGGTGTAAGTCGCACAGATACACATATGTATGTCGTAGTAGTCCGGTTGTATGTACTGCATGTCGTAGTAGTCCGGTGGTATGTAGAGGGTTGGAATGTCACTGGACTGTACAGTGGCAGAGAATTATTTAAAAAAACATCATGAAATGAAGAAGGCTTAGACACAAGTACATGCAATCATATAATTTAGAGCCACAGCCAATTGGTACTTTTGTTGGTATTATAAAATAGATACAGTGAAACTTTTCTTAAGTACGAACATCAGTGTTTACAGCCGAGCAACCAACGGATATGCCAATTACATGTATTGGGACAGAACATTCCACAGACATACATCACCACAGACCCTAACTCTAAAAGGGACAAGGTGGCACCCCAACGAAAATCTGGTGGGGACAATAAATTTCGTGAAGGAATGCACAAAATCCATTTTTAAATTTTCATATTGTGCCAACCCATAAAGTAAGTATTGGTAACTTAAGTTAAAAAAAAATCAAAACATATCCCTGCCACCGACATCGTTGACCAGCAGCTAGCAGGGAAAGAGTATATACCGGTAGGTCGGCGGTATACCGGTACTTAAGCTATTGTGAAAATACAATTCCTTGCTTCGCTCTGCTTCGCACCAAAAATGGGGGGCCGTCATTTCCTGGAGACGCTGTTTGTTTGACTTGATCGACAAGCACCGCACACTCTCAAGCACGCAACCTAACTAATTAATTCAGGCTAAAACTCTAACTTGTTTCGCGCTGCTGGGCTAGCTTAAAGATCCTGCATTCCTTCCGTCGCTACATCAGACGTTGCTGTCTTAGCAGCTTCGAAGGGTTCCACAAGTCGCGCTAGCACCTCGTTCACAGCCGACGCAAGACCGCCACTTTCCTCCTCTTCACTAGCAGTTGTGGATGATTTTGCCGCTACTTGATTCGGTTCAGTCTCATCAGCGATACCACCGATTTCATCAGCGTTTTCTACCGACACCATTCGTTCATCAATACCTGGGGCTTCTTCTGATTCTGGTACACGTTCAGCCACCGGAGCTTCGTGATCAGCTTCTGGGGCTTCTTCGTCAGCAGGGACAGCACCAGGGGTATCTCGCTCGACAGCAATCGTAGACTCGGTATCATCGATAGCATCAGTTTCTACAGCATTCTCAAAATGCTCGATCTGCTCGGTCACAAACTCGACAGGCTCCAATGCATCAGCGTCTGGCTCGACCGATGCTTCTGTAGCTTCAATCGTCAAAAATTCCTCACCCTGTTCGCTAACCAAGCCATACGCCGCCACAGATTTCTCCACTTCAACATGACTGAGAGAACTCAATCCGGGATTGCCGCTTTCCACTTCATCCTCCTCGTCCAAACCTACTTCCACGCTCCCCGTACCATTCTCAGAAGGGAAAAACAATCCAGCATCCACCTCATATTTCTTCACTACAGCAGGCTCGATCTCGGCAGAAACGGTTAAGGAGTCTTCGACATCTTCCTGTCGTCCACATGCCTCTCTCTCTAGCTCTTCCACCTGTTCTTGTACAAGAGTTTCATCGACAACTTTAGCAACGTCTTCTTCAGGTTCCAAATCGTGAATGAAGTCTTCGGCCTCAACAGGGATGGCCAAGTCGTCCTCGTCGCTGCTAGCAGCCACTGTAGCGTCCTCCTCATTCCACGTCTTATCAGCAACTTCTGGCCATACGGCAATGGGAGTCGCAGCGGGCTTTTCATCTTTCGACACCTCGCCTTTGCCGTTCTCAAGTCCCTCGATTAACACACTGACACTGCTCTCGTCAGACAGAAGCTCTACCGCGTCTACTTCGCTCGAGCTGGGAGACAACTCGGGCTCCCGCTCTGCCATAATATCTTCGTCCACCACTTCACGAGGATGATCCTCCTCGGAAGTGAACACCTCCTCTCCGTCATCAGTCTCTCTCTCAATTTCGATCGCAGCATCAAGATCGATCTTTTCTGCCTCGACCTCATTCTCTTCACCCAACGCACTGGCGGCATCCTCCCCATTTTTATCCTCCGACTCCAACACCAACACCTCGTCAACGTCGGCGGGAATCGAAGAGTCAACCGTGGCAACATCTCCCACCACAGTATCCAACCCCTCCTCGCTCAGCGCAACACCCACTTCCAATTTTTCGGTGCGATCCAACTCCTCTTCGACATTCTCCATCTCGACATCAGCGCCACTAAAAACATCCGCATCTGATCCAGTCACTTCAGTAGTAGTCTTAGCAACCTCTTCAGCTGTATCACCAACTGACACAGGCTCCTTCAGCAATATTCTTCAACTCAACATTCATCTCCGCTTCTGCCTTGCTTAATCTAGACGGTAAACCTTCGTCAACATCCACTACCGGCTCAAGCTCCGCTTCCAAAGCCGAGGTAGATGAACCCTCGGTTGATTCAGCAATCAGCTCCTCCTTGGTGACATCCGTCACGGTCTCGGCGTACGACAAGTCTACACCCTCCTGGAAAACTTCAATCTCGACAACGTCGTCCAACTCTGTCGCACCTTCTTCAACCACAGACTCTTCCTCCTCAGACACATCAACCGCAGTATCGACCACTTCAACCGTAACAGACGAGGAAGCAGCATCAGCGCCACGATCAATGGCGTCAGTCTCCTCCACGGGGGTGGTAATTACAGAGTCGTCCTCCACCACCGCAGTCCCATCAACACCAGTCGACTTCGTATCGGCATCCAGCTCGGCCTCCTCGATTTTATGAAGAGCAAGAGCAGAATCATATTCTGTCAGAGCCTCAACAATGGCATCTACCGACTCAGCCTTCTCGACTGCTTCGACATCTTCAGACACCTGCGCACTGGTTTTATCCACAACTTCCGGTCCAAATAATAGACTTTCTTCTTCACCAATTTGAGGCCCATCATCAAACCTAAGTGTTTCCTCTTCCACAGGAACTTCGTCCGCGGGTACAAAACCACCATTTGTTTCAGTTTCCTCGGTCAATTGACCATCGGCTTCAGTCTCCTCAGTCAAATCAGGGTCAATCTCAACTTCGCTGATAGAGCTTTCGCTTTCCATTTCTTCAGACGCTTGCTCCAGCGAGCCCGCGTCCGTATTGCTGTCACTTTCCTCGTCCACCGATGGATTCTCGTTTTCCACAACACTTTCCACGGTCTGAGACTTCACTTCACACACTTCGTCGTATCCTGCGAGCTCGAGAACAGAAGACCACAAGAACGAGCCAACATCCAGCCACAGATCCACCACAGGCTTCGCGTAGTTGTTGTAGCACTCCTGCGACGGAGCCTGCTCCTTCACGCTAGCAATCCAAGCTGAGCCAAACGAGTCGGGGGAAAATGGCACCAGCCTCACCAAATTCATGAGGTCGTCGCCCGAAAGTGTTGTGAACAATGCATTCTCCCGAGCCTTCCACTCCGAGCAAAAGCAAATATCCGGGTGGGATTGGCGAATGTAGTCAGCGACGTGCTCGTACGTAAACGCGTCCAGCTCCTCCTGCAAGGAAACACATTCTTCAGCAGATTCGAGCTCTTGGCCGTCCTTGTCAAGAGCACGGCACTCCCACGCATCCAGCACAACGAAGCTCACAAAAACAGCACCGAACGAAAAGTACAGCAGCACCGACAGCCAAAGCAGCAGCGATATCGTGCGAACAAAGCAGCCACGCTTCTTCCCCGCGCCCTTGCCAGCTATACAATCACGGTGAGCACGCTCCAGTATCTCCAAGTTTTCTTCCAGCCGCTTCACACTCAGCGCTCCATATTTTCCTTTCAGCAACCCAACAAGCTCACGTTCTTTGCCCGCGTACTCCTTCGCGACGATAGAAACATTTTTCAGTTTGTCAGGCTGGTGATTCTTGTATAATTCCTTAAGCAGACCCTCCACAGTCACAGCAGGACGTTCAGTACCGTCAGTCTTTGGACCTTGAGCACTGGGTCCAGACGCATTATGACGCTGGCGAAGACCCACAGGCGCAGAATTGCTTGTCTCCATTCCACGATGGAGGGGAGGAGGAGGCTGGTTGAGTGAACCGCTTGGCTTATCTCGTTGAGCTAAAGGAGGCCTGTTCGTCACCGATGGACCATCTATGTTGGCTTTCACCGCACTGTCACTTTCATCACTCTTTTGTGTCGTTGGGAACGACGGAGGATCACCGAAAGCAGGGGTGTTGCTTCTGGATACCTTTTCGCTCGGGCTCGGAGGGGCTTTAGCCTCTATTTCCTGTCCTGGTTGAGAGTTTGGAGCATTGTTCTCCTGAGACGGAGCAACCGGAAGGGAAACGCGAGGCTTACCAGCACCAGGGTTCGCATTGCAGGCAGGCTTAGGCGGGTGGAAGAACTGTGGGTGGCCTTGTCTGCTTGCCTTTGAACGTCCCGAGCTATCAGACGACTTCGTAGCGTGGTCATCCCGCTTCCCCTTTTTATCACCACTGTTGTCACCCGTGGAGACGTTGGTGCCGTGTTCATATCGAGCCTTCAAGGCAGCCACCTTCGCCGTACCGTATCGCTTTGCCAACTCAGTGAACAGCCACTTCTCACGACCCGCATATCTCTTTCCGTACACCGTCGCCATCTTGAGACGTTTCTTGTCTACCTCCGTGAAGAAATCAAGCAGCAATTTTTCCAACGATACAGGCTCTGTGCACTCTTCTTTAACTGGACAAGGTGGCTGAGCGTCAGACACGGGACGAGGCGGGGAACGGGTGGGACCTAGAAGCGCAATGCTGGGCAGACTACATGTAGTAACAATGCTTTCTACCTCGGCAGTCGACGCTTGCTCAGGTTGCGTACCGTTGCAACCCTCATTGTGTGGCGTAGCTACGTCCGGGGCAGCATCTTCAGTATCTGCTTGCGGTAGCGGTGAGGAAACAGACTGCTCGACAAAACTTGGAACAGGAGCCATGGTCTCATTGCTTGCTTTGGTGACAGTCTCCGCGACTGGCGGACATGAAACTGCAGATGGCTGCGTTGTTTGCTGAGCCTGGATTTTGTTCCACTCTGTACTGTTACAATCATTCTCCGCAGTGGAATCTTTCGCTTCTTGCTGCTCAAACGAGTTGTCAGCTACGGTTTCAGCACGAACCATCGGGTCAGCTTGAGCGGGCAACTCCAAAAGAGGGTCCTCTTCTTGGTCCTGAGCACCGTATGCATCACCTGGCACCTCCGATAAAGAAAAGTCGTCCTGCTGAGAGTGGGATGGCGACGGCACTGCCCCCACAGCAAATATTGCCCCAGGATATTGTGGGGAGAACTCCTGCTGCTGAGCCACACCAGACTCGTTATGTTCAACCTGTTGAGCAGCGTGGCCATTCTCAGAGGCATCACGACGAGGGGACATCAGCACAGACTTAAGCTCGTAATCGCCAGGAGCTGTTGTCGCTGTGCCGGTCGTAGACGCTTGGGTAGTCGATGTGGGTAAGCCTACGGCTACTCCTGGATCCAAGCTGGTTGACCCAATTCTGAACACGGGCGGAAGGTTCTTCATGGGCGTCGCGCCACCCGAAGCCCATGGATCCCAAAGCGGACGGTTCGGTGACCGAGGTGAAGTTAGTCCAAACTGAGCAGCACGGTTGTTTTCCTTTAGCTCAACACGAACTAATGGGGCCTGTTTTTGGTGCGTTGGAGGTAAGGAGGGCTGCACAGGCGAAGTTGGAGCTCGAGCCAGAGGAGAAACTATTGGTGTTTCTGGTTTTTCCTCGTCAGTTGCCACAGTCTTCGCCTCGGTGCCCGCTTGCAGAGGTGTTCCTAGGGGTGTTTCTTCTGCAATGGGAGGCAGCTCGTCAACGCCAGAGGATATGCCTTTTGTTTTAGCTGACTCTGCCTGCTTCAGCTGGGCTGCAAGGTCGCGAATAAGCTTTTCTTGCTCCTCCAGCTTCCGCCGCGCCAACTTGCGGTCCCTTTCCACCTCCATCATTGTTCGCTCCAATTCGCTCACCTTCGACAGCGATTGAGACAGTTCTTCCTCCGTATGCTGCTTCGTCTTCACTAGCTGCTTACGCAGTGTAGCCTCCGACAATTGGAGCTCCCGCACGTAACCCATTAAACTGTTCACACTGGTACGGGTGGGCAGCAGCTTGGACGCGACCAGTTCATTACTCCGCAGTTGACGGAGCTTGTCAATCGTAAACTGGGGCTGCTTCGTGTTACCGAACGTCGAAGGGCACGACTGCGGACCACTCTTTTCTTCGTCGTACACGGGGGGAATCGTATTAGCATACACGTTTTCCGAAATTTTAGCTCGAGATTCTACGCGGCTGCCCGCGTGCGTCGATAAATCCATGCGAACGCGCTGTACAGCGCTACATTCTCCGTCGTTGTCCTGTGTCGGCTTGCCCAGCGGTGTCTTCGGCGGCTGTACAGTCATTGTCAGCTCTCCGCTAGGAGCAGCAAAGGGTGGCGATGGCTGATGTCCCGCAGCTGGCGCTCCAAACAGAGACGACGCTGGAGCGAGGTTTTGTTGCGGTACTGCTGGTGTTTCATCCTTGGCCGCAACTGACGATGCCCAGCTCAGTCTCGACACCTGTTCCAGTTCGCTCTGCGTACCACCGAATCCACCGACTGACTCGATCTCGCTGCCACTCCAGCTCACATTGCTATCCATGGACGATGACGGTGGGCGCTTGCGGTGCTTGCCGTAAAGCGGAGACTACAAAAAAATCGATAGGTCAGACTCATAATTCTATACCAAATTCGGTATTAAAACGTACGTCATGGCGTCCTCCAACGCGTCCTGGCTTCCATCCGCGGCTGTTAGGTCCAGCGCTCGTGTTGACGGGTCCTCGCATCGCTGGGAAGCCGAAAGACTGTGGCGGGTGAGGTTGATGCGGCGGTGAAGGGGGTACGTTCTTTTCAGTAGTTGCGGCCACGGGGGGCGCTCTGAACGCGACTGGGGGTCCATTCCGAAGCGCAAACGGCTGCGGTTGCGCGCCGTTGGCGGCAGGGGGGCCGCCGAAGCCTCGCGGCGGCGGCGCCTTCCTCTCCATACTTCTGGATTCTGGATGAGGAATGAAGGTCCAGGTCCTGACACGTGCACGTTCCGTGGCGGTATAAACACGAGTACAAATTTTGCCACCATATTTCTAAAGCCACCAAAAGTGCAGCAAGTTCACTCCCGCCAAAAAAAATGAACTCCGCCATGGGGCGAGCTAATAAGCGGAAGTCCATCACGCAGGTGTCCATCGAGGCGTTCGTGGGATCGAGCCCTTCGAAACGCGTGGCGGAGGATGTCCAATTCAAAGTGCCATTCCTTCCCATGTCTGCTCCGGGTGAGCCCACCCCCGCGGCCTTCCGCGATGATATGCCGTTGTACGAGCACCAGCGCCGCTCGCTACACCGCATGCTGCAGGTAGAGGCACGCGACGAGGATGTTGCCAAATTCAATTTTGGCATGCTCGACTACTTTTCCAAGGGTGGGGCGCTAGCGGACGCCATTGGAATGGGTAAAACAGCTACGATGCTGGCTCTGATTGCTGGAGAACCGAGGGACTACGCAGCCGGTGCCAACCTGCTCGTAGCACCGTCGCATCTGCTAAGTCAGTGGAAGCACGAGGTGGGCAAATTTGTCAAGGATGGAGAGATCGATGTCGTGCTGGGACTGAGGCAGTACATGGAACTGGTAGAGAACCCGGCGGCTAGAGCAAATATCTCGAATCGAATGCTGGTGCTGGTGGGCGTGGAAGAAGCTGTCAAGTCCAGGAACCACTACTTTCAGTACGGGAAGCTTTACCCGATGGAGATAGGCAGCACAGGAAAGCCACTCCACGTGAACCCCATTGCTTTACAGGAGTACGAAGAAGCTGCCAGGTTCGTGCACAAAGCCTATTGCGGTCCGCTGTGGGTGACACCGCTGCACCTGCCGCAGAAACCGTGGAGACGTGTGATCTTTGAAGAAGTACAGGACTTAGTGCTGCCTGGAAAAAGCGCGAGAGACTGTTTTGTTCAACTCACACACAAGTGTCTGAACGTGTGGCTGATTACCGCGACACCATTCCCAGGCAAAGCCGAGTCGATTTACGCTAACAATCAACTGCTAGGATTTAAGCGGTTGCGTCTATTGCCGCACGATCCTGCCTTCGATGAGATCAAGCGAAAGCTCTATCTGCGCAACTGCGCGCAGGTGAAGCAGCAAGCGATCACGGATAAAATTAAGGTGGACGAAACGTATATCCCTGTCAAGCTGCACCCCAAGGAGCTGTTGTTGTACAAAATCGAACAGATATTGGCGGCGAAGCAGTCGGAGTACGCCTTATTCGCCCTTGGAGATGTTGATGTGCTGGCTGCTGGTGGAAAAGAGGGTACAGCCGACGTGGTAATTGATGATGACGGGCCAGTGGCCGCCAAGGTTCCTGTCTCGGAAATGCTTTGGTCAGAGGAGTACAAGCCCGCTCGACAAACTTGTGTGCACGCAGGCATCTCTGATCGGATACTCGAGCGCGAACGAGGTGGCAAGCAGAATGGCTCGAAGGAGATGGCAGCGCCGACGCTGATCAAAATAAAAAGCCCCAATGAGGTTTTCCGCGATGAGAAGTACCACTTAAGCCGGCAACTGGCTGTGGCTACGAAGCGTAAAAAAGAAGTGGAAGTAATGGAAGCTGCAACGCGCAACACCGTGGCGATCTGTCGTGCTATTCACTCAAACGCTTATGCTACAGTGAAGGACTGTTTCGACGACATGGAGAACTCTGGCTTAAGCGCATTCTTCAATGGAAGTGGAGAGACGGATGCTGGTTTCCGCATGCTGTACAAGCATTATCCGTACGGCGACGAAATGCCAGAGCCGACGGAGTTACTCTTCTACCATCACGGTGAAATTGCAGACTACATACTGAAATACTTCAGCACTATGGACAAGGTGGAGAAACTCGCCAGGGCAATGGAGTCCACGCTGAATGAACGGTGCCCACGAGCCCGCGCGGTCGTTGAAGAGCAACTCAAGCAGGTTGCAGAGTGCGTGGAGCTCATCAATTCGGTCAAGACTGGCGACGATGAGGTAATTGCACAAATGCCAGCGCACGGGAGCAAAATATCTGCAATGGTGCAGTACTTAAGCCGCCTGCCAACCATTAAGGTCGTGCTCTTTACGATGTGGGATCAAGCTCTGCGCGTTGTGGATAAGGCGCTTCGTCTGGCTAATATCTCGAGTGCAGTGTTTCTCCAGCATCAGTCCAGCGAGACAAAGTCTGCACACGTTTCCTCTTTCCATAGTGGGGACATCCAGGTCCTCATCTTGAACTCGCTTACTAGTGCGTCTGGAATCAACTTGCAGGTCGCATCGCACCTTATTTTCTTGGATCCGGTCGGATATAGTCCCATGCAGGCCAATACACTGGAGCAGCAGGCGATTGGTCGTGTGCTGCGAATGGGTCAGACGAACGACCTCGTGACTGTTGTCCGGCTTATTGCTGAAGACACGGTGGAGGCTACACTCTACGATGACATCCACGAAGCCACACAGAAGACCATTGCGGCGGACGACTCGTTCTTTGACGGTGAGAGGGAGGACGCATATGTGTGTGCCGACTTTGCTACACCAGTTCGGCGTGTTGTGCGCATGTTTGCTCCAGCGAAAGACGGAGCACAGATTGAAGACGAGGAGATCCAGATCGAGGGCTCCATGTCAATTGAGGAAGCCATCACGCATCGGATAGAGCAGGCTGAAGCAGAAGGCGAGGTCTTCGATCTTACGGAAGACGTGCCGATGGATTTCAAGCAGCAGCTCGCTGCAGTTCGAGAACACGACACACATCAACTCAAAAAGCGCCGGACTCGAGGAAATGTGAACAACGAGGTCTTCACTGCCCCTGTTGTACCGGTATCTGATGGAGAAGTCCTTGTCAAGAACGAGCCGAGGAGCAACCTTAATCAGTATTAATATTACGTAGTCTTAATACATGTTAACATGTACTACAGTATTATGCTCTTTCAAAGTACAACAGCACTACAGTAGCGGTTGTACATGTTAGTACGAACTTCGTAATGAAGCTATCACTTTCCTTAACCACTACTACTACTTGTAGTAGTAGTACAGAAGTTCTGTGGTGTACTACATCAGGCAGTCCAGCGCACATCAACGTCTGTACACGATTAGGATCATTAATGACGAAACCGATGCCCTTGCTGACTCACCTGTCCTCACGCATTCCACCCTTAGCTGTAGGGGGTAGGGGGCCTCTGTTCACCACCGTACGAACGCCAGCAGAGTCGCTCCTGCTGATCTTGCGAAGTGAGCGATGGCAAATGGGCGGGAGATTCAAACAGCCAGCAGTTTTGCAGGGAGTATATCGCCTTAGACGGGGTACCGCGGAAATCAACACTGCTTAAACACTTTTACAGGGGTATGGAGTTTAAGCAATCGTATTGGTAAGGTGATTTATTTTCCGAGCGGAGGTAGTATTAGTACTACTACAACGTAGTATTAAATTGGACTCGACGACACTAAAATCTCGTTCGGGGCATAGGTACACCCTTTTACCAACAACACACTAGATAGCGCGCGCAGCAAAAAAATAAATCGGCCGACCATGAAACGATGGCAACACCACGAACACAACAACAGCACGCATGCCAAGGCACGATAATGTAGGACAACTAAAAGAGTCGGAGGGAGGAGAATCCGTTTAATTACTGATGTGGAGCGAGCGGCGTCTGCAATTGGCAGATGCTGGCGTTGTTGTCACTCAGCAATCGATCAGGCCACTCGATGCGAATTGTATTACGGCAAGAGCCGCTTACAGCTCGCCACAGTTGGCAACGACCACGGGCTTCTTGGTCTGGCCCGACTGCGAGCCCACAGACTCAATGTTCTTGACCACGTCCATGCCGTCCACGACACGGCCGAATACGACGTGTTTGCCGTCCAGCCACGAGGTCTCAACCGTGCAGATAAAGAACTGCGAGCCGTTCGTGTTGGGACCGGCGTTGGCCATGGACAAGATGCCCTCACCCTTGTGCTTGAGCAAGAAGTTCTCGTCTGGGAACTTCTCGCCGTAGATGGACTCACCGCCCGTGCCGTTACCACGCGTGAAGTCGCCGCCCTGGCACATAAAGTTGGGGATCACACGGTGGAAAGAGCTGCCCTTGAAGTGCAGGGGCTTGCCCGAACGGCCCACGCCCTTCTCGCCTGTGCAAAGAGCGCGGAAGTTCTCAGCCGTCTTCGGCACCTTGTCGGCGAACAGCTCGAACGTGATACGGCCAGCGGGGGCACCACCAACGGTCATGTCGAAAAACACCTGCGGGTTCGGCATCTAGAATTTGGATCTCTTGGGTCTTGCTTGCGACTTGGGGAATACGCGAGTGGCTCTGCTGGTTGGTATCCTATTGAGGGAGGAGGGCACGTACATTATTGAAAAACCTCTAGTCAAATGTAATTAAAAAAACCTCACATAAGATACAGAAACTTTAAAATTTGATGAATGTTTTCGTGGGGAATGCAGTATCAAAGGTAAATTCGCAAAGACATATACATAACACAGAATGCTTCATAAGTACCTCGTCGTTTATTGCTCTTGGCTGCGTCTGGCTACACTGTTTCCTCGGAAATTCATATACATTATTCATGTGTTTTTTGGGGGTCAGAGCTTAAGCATTTCTGCTGGTTGACTCACACGATAGATGCTCAAGCATCGCCTTGGCCTTCTAGGAGCTCTTGGTGTTTCTCTTTTTTTATCCTGGTAGTGCTACGTGAGTAGTACATACAGCACAATAAGGGTTCATTTAAGAATGCTATTTGTGGTCCACAGAAAAAGAAGGCATAGCATTAATACACATGTCAAATGTGGTGCTCTTAGATTTTCCATTTTTCTTAAAAGTACTACAGGTTCTTAATTTGTTACAGGTTTACAAAGTATTGCACCGTAAAATATAACATTGAGCAGGTGACATGAATATTGAGCAAATTCCGTAGTGTCTCACGGTGTATACAATGAAATGCTATTTCACGATACGCCACGTCGCTTTCAGGAAGTAGTTCAGAACAGTGTTTTCATCTACATGCTACCCTTTCGTATCCTAATGCAAGCGCAAACTGGATGGTCTAGTTTGCCCTTCTTCACGACCACCTTATTTATGGAATCACGAGCGTTCTCGAAGTTCCCGGAACTGGCGGCTGTAGTAGCCACACATCAGACTTAGCAATCTAGCATTAGTTTTTGCAGTAGGTGTGGTGCTGGAATTTCCACGTGAACTCTAGCTACAAATGTAGTTAGGAAACTCCCACAACAATACGTCTGCTAGGATAGTAAACGTCGAGTCTCTTGCACCTTGGAGTCACCGTACATCATGTGACCGAAGGCACGTCGCTTGAACATCATGGACGGTGCCGCATCTTTGTTGAAGGGCGATTATCCGCAACTCTGGCAAAATCACAACACCGTATAAGCGCATTTGAAACTTACACATCCGAGCTTGACGATGCTATGTACTCATCTGCACGAAAACGCAGTTTTGGGAGTGTAGCCGCATATGAGCTCGAAGCTCTCTCCTTCGTACGTATATTTCCGTAGTTTTTAAGTATACATTCCTATCGCTACAGCCGAAACCATTCTGTATCCATTCCATCCACATCCCCGACTTTCTCACCCGGTTGGTAGCTACGGATATCACGTACTCCTGTACTAGCATGCGTCGATGTGTAGATAGCCATACCAAAATTTATCGGACCGGATGACCTTATCGGACCTGTACCAAATGCCTGGTACACAATAATAACAACCCTCAAAACAAATATATAAAATCTAAAATTAGATGTTGTGGGCCACACACTAACATTTTTATTTTACAGCAGGCAAACCCAAGGCAGGAGGAAGGTGGCGAGGGGCGACGACGGCGGCGGCGACACGTGTGGCAGGAGGGTAGCGGCGACGAAAAGAGGAACGGCAGCAAGGCCAGAAAGGGCAGCAAGTGTGGAAGGAGCAAGGGGGACATCCGCAGCGGGTGGGCCCTCAAGGGCGGTGGCGGCTAGCCCGGCAGGGTGGGCGACAGGCTGCCCGTTGGGTGTGATCCTGCAGGTGGCGCTCCGGGCTGCGGCTGTACTCTACCACCACTAGCGAGGATGCCGCCGCCAGGCCCCGTGCAGACCCCGCAAGAGCTGTTGCCCCACCCGGCAGGGCGGGAAGCATGGTAGCCCGCTGGCGAAGCACCAAGTCCAGATGCCTGCCCCGTCGTGTCGATTTAGAGCTCAATGCTCTCAGTAGCTGCGTGTAGCTAGCTAGCGTTAAATAATGTAAAACATGTCCAAGTAATTGATGCAAATTGTCAATGTCTTTTTAATATCGGGTACAATAATAAGAATTCGCAATGCACACACCTCACGGAAGCTATTAGAAGTTACAAGTGTAGCTACTGCATCTTGTCATCACAGAGGCTCTTAATTGCATGCATCATGTCGCCATTTAAGCGCTTTCGAGAAATTGCTACGGTATAACAAATTTTAAAAGCGCTGTAACAGGCCAATTATCTTGTCCGGCCGTGGGGCAGATCGTATTGCTCCACTAGTGCTGCGCTGGGGGTTCGCCCTGTAAGTCGTCTGTCGTCTACGAACGTGCTCGTGCTACTGGCCGACAGAAACCATTTGGTTCTGCGCCGGAACGTTCGCTTCGCGCCCGTTCCTATTTGTATTTACGTAACACTAGCCTCACTCGCTAACGTACTCCTACTCAACCTCCAAATGCTATTCCAAGCACCAGCCTTTCACGCCGCTGCGCTACTTCGTCACACGGGCTCTCCTACACCGAACCCGACCCGCCTCACTCACGCAGACCTCAGGTGCCCCGTAGAGCTCCTCGCCACGCCACTCGAGTCGTCAACGATGCCCGTGCAGTCACCACGTGCGCCGCTTGCTGTAGTCGCTCACGAAGCGGGTTGGCCCTGCTCGTATGCCTCCCTGCTTCGCTCGCTCTCCGTTTCGCACACTCGGACAGCTTTCGTCTGCCGGTCCTCGTGTACTCTCTACTCCGTTCACGCACTCGGTCGACTATTACGCCAACCTCGTACGCTCTTTCTACTCCGTTCACGTGCTTGGTCGACTGTTACGTCAACCGCGTACGCTCTTTCCACTCCGTTCGCACACTTGGTCGACTGTTACGTCAAATCTCGTGCGCTCTACCACTCCGTTTGCGTCTTCCACCGCAATTCGTGTCAGGACTGTGCTCCAAGCCGCAGATCCAAAAGTGAGCTGCCCCGCTCGTTCGCCTCACGCCGCTTCTCAGCATCGGTACCTCACGCCGCGGCTGCCTCACGGTACTTCAACTCAGCTCACCCCACTATCTCTGTTCCTCCAACATCGACTCCGTTCCACTCCACCCCGTCCTCCGTTCCAGCTTAGGCTTTCGCGGCCACAGCCATCCGCCTCCGCGCCCACGTCAGCCTCCGCGCCCATATCAGCTTCCTCCACCTCGTCTCCCAGACCTGACGTGCCGCCCGTGTGCCATTTGTGCGACTGATCACCAACTGGCTCGACACCCACGTGGTCCACGTAACTTTCCGACTCGTTACACGTCTTCCTCCAACTCAGAGTCTTCCACGACTCTGTCGCCGCAAACAACTCGTCGTAGACTGCACTGGAGACCCATACACTCTCGGGAGCTCCCGCAGCACACTCGTCGCGTCGCACGGGCCGCAATTCGTACTCGAGGACGTAACATCGAGCCTTGTTTCGACGTCGTCGTCTTCGAATCTCCACCATTGCACCACTCGTGACTCGCCAGGCTTCGTCACGGCCCACAGTTCTCGCCTTACGTTTTGCCATTCTTGCTCCCGCTGCTGCCTGCACAGACGCCGTCGCTGCTCCAGCAGTCGTGCTTGATGGCGGGACATCTTCACCGGGCTCGCTCGGATCTTCATACTCCAACTGCCTTGTAATATCCACCGCCGCGCGCTTCAGTAAGTCCGCCGGATAGTAGTGGGTGATCAGAAACGACACGTGAGCTATAAATCGCTCTGGCACGCCGTTCTGATCTTCTCGTTCGACCAAAAAGTTCTCAAAACCCGCGGGCTCGATAATCTTCACTGGCCCCATCCATTGATGAACCAATTTACTCGCCTTAGCTCCGCGTGGCGGCCGGTACAGCCACACTTGATCACCTGGTTGAAACTCGCGCCGATTCCTCGCCTTCCGATTGTAGTAGTGCGCTTGCCGGAGCTGCTCTCGCTCCCGCGCGCTCTCAGCCACCTCGTAACTCTTTTTCATTGCTGCCACTAACTGTCGGTGGTAATCCGACAACTCTCCCGCCTCCGTCACTCCGCTCACACTTAGCAATGAGTGATGGTCGCTCCTCGGCTACGCCGAGTGGTGACCATTGTGATGAAGGAAGTAGTCGTAACAACAGTAAGTTGCAGGGACTGAAAGTCCAGCAGGGGAGAAAACCGAGTGCTGCTGCTTGCTCTTGACGGCGCAAGTTGTCGAGTGTGTAGCAGCACACGGAAAAACCCCGGTAACATATATTGGTAGGATTAGCAGTAGGATGGGGCTGGCGGCTCGCCAGCCAATGGTCCGTCGAAGTCCGGCTTCTGGACGCGAGCATCGCGTCCTGGAGGCACCTGAGCCTCAGGTTTGAGCTGGACGCAGTCCTGGCTCTTCCTCCACACTTCACACTCCCACTTGATCTAGTCGAAGCGCAGCTTCAACGTGATCACCTTGTAGAGCTCACCACGATGTCCTTGGCATCTTCTAGCTGCGCTGCAGCACGACGCTTCGTCCTTGGTAGCGCTCTTCCTCCTTCTTGTCCTTCGCATGCATGAACTGGTAGTAGTAGCTTGCATTCACGCATGGCGATGATGTTTGGCTCCCACTGAACGAGCTGAGCCTTGCTGACGGTCGATGCGCAGCACCTTCATCCCATCACGGCAATGTTCGAACTTGTCCTTCGGCAATGGCTTCGTCATCGCGTCGGCGATCATGTCGTCGGTGCCAACATGGCGAATCCGTAGCTGCTCGTTCTCCACGAGGTGGCGCACCAAGTGGAACTTGTTCATAATGTGCTTGTTCTTGCTGTGCTTGCCAGGCTTGGCAGTCAGATAGATGCACGACTTGTTATCGCCGATAATCTCCGGAGTCGCGAACTCCCAGCATAGTTCTTCACAGAGTCCACGTAGCCACTGTAGATCTCTAGTGCCTTCATTCATGGCAATATACTCTGCTTCCGTTGTGCTCTGTGCGTTAATCTCTTGCTTTCTTGATCCGTACGAAACCACGTTACCATTGACGAACGTCACGAACCCGCTAACACTCTTTCGGTCATCAGGGTCATTAGCGTAGTCAGCATCGGTGTAACACGTCAGCTTGACGTCGTTCCCAATAACAATGTCCATCACTAAGCCGTGGTCTTGAGTACCACTCAGGTAGCGTAGCACCCTCTTTCCCATAGCGTAGTGTGTGTGGTCGAAGCAGGACAGGTACTTGCTGAGATTACGCACAGCGTGCGCAATGTCCGGCCTTGAGGCTGAGACCAGATATTGTAGTGCACCAACGAGCTCTCGGTACGGGGGCGGGGAGTCATCTTTCGCATCTGTGACCACCTCAGCGCGCAGCGCTTCCGGTGTTGCAACCGCGTTGCACCCCTCCATGTGAAATCGCTTTAGCACCTCCGTAATATGTTGCCGCTGGCAAAATACCGCATGTCGACGCTCGCTGTCGATCAGTATCTCCACGCCTAGTAGATACTTGACTGGTCCGAGAGATGTGAGTTCATACTCCTCACTGAGTTGCTTAGCAACCTTAGCGCAAAGGTCATTAGGGGCCGAGGAAGCAGTAGTCCGTCGACGTACACCGTGAGCAACATGGTGGACTTCTTCTTCTCACTTTTCTTGGCGTAGAGTCCGTAGTCAGAGTCGAGGCGCTCGAGTCCGATCTTCGTCAGGAACTTGTGCAATGTCTTGTTCCACACTAAGAGGGGCTTGCTTTAGCCCATACAAACTCTTCTGTAGCTTGCATACATAGCGCGTAGAGTCTTCTCCGAAGCCTGGAGGCTGCTCCATGTAGACCTCCTCGTCGAGGTCACCGTACAAGAACGCGGTCTTGACGTCGAACTGCAAGATGGCCCATCCGCGTTGCAGCGCGTATACGATCACGCATCTGATCGTCTCAAATCTGATAACAGGTGCGTATGTTTCACTGTAGTCGATGCCCATGCGTTGTAGAAAGCCTCTGATCACTAGTCGAGCTTTATATCGCTTAATCCGGCCCGTAGAGTCTCTCTTGAGCGCGTACACCCACTTGCACGAAATGACACGCTTGCCCTTGGCCTCCGTGCGTCGCACGAGCACCCAAGTTTCGTGCTGCTGCTGTGAGTCCATCTCAACTTGCATCGCTGCTTTCCACTCCTTCCACTTCTTTGACCTTGCCGCATGCTTGTGACTAATGGGGATCTGCACATCCTCGACGTTCTGCTTCGTCACATTCGTCACTACGTAGTCCTTGAGTCGGGCGGATGGTTGTCGCTTCCGCTTCGGTCGCGACGTAGCTGCACTGTCGTCTGGCGACGACTTCTGCGTCGTGCATGGCTCCCAGTTCTCGTCTTCGTGAGCATCACGTCGACTGTCCTTGGCCTTCGAGGCTCCCACTCGATTTGAACATGCTTTCGCCTTATTCTTGCCCTTTGTGTTCTTCCGCTTGGAACCTCCCACTGAAGCTGCTGGCTTCTTAGCTTCCTCGCTTGGTAGCTGTGGGTCATCACTTCGAGTCGCAGACTCGGCTTCAACTTCAACACCTTGGTCATGGCTCTCACCAGCAGTGGCCAGCTTCGCCATCTCCGCTGCTCGCCTTTCTGCAAGCTCTGCAGGAAGCTGCAGGTACGTAGACATTGTCGTCCGGATCGGCACGATCGGGATCTCCGCAGGTAAGTCGTAGTCTCCGTAAGCGTAGGTGTTTGCAAGAAGTTGCTCAATATACACAGTGTTCACCGTGTACTTCTCATGTGCCTTCATGTTTCCATCTCTGCACGTCGTCACTGATCCTGTGCGCAGGTTCAGCAGCTTATAGCCCTTGGTCTTCTCGCTGTAGCCAAGTAGTAAGCACATCTGCGTCCTTGGAGTGAGCTTCTCCTTTCTCTGCCGAGAATCATCAGGGATGTGCGCGTGCACCAAGCACCCCCACGTGCGCAGCACGCTGAGGTCTGGCCGCTCTCCGTACAGGGCCTCGTACGGGGACTGCTGGTCCTTCAACACCGGCGTCGGCGTCTTGTTGAGCGTCTCAATTGCATGTAGGAAGGCCTCTCCCCATAATGAAACAGGCATTTGCGTAGCTTGTAACATAGATCTGACCTGCCGCATGACGGTCTGGTTCGTGCGCTCCACGATAGCGTTCTCCTGCGGGCTGTAGGGATTGGATGAACGCGTGTCGATGCCGAGGTCCTTGCAGAAGGTCTCGAGCTGCATGTTGACGAACTCGCCACCACCATCGGAGAACAGCGTCTTGATGGTCGCCTTCGGGAACTGGTTCTGGATCCAGCGAATCTGCTTCTGAATCAGCTCCGTGGCTTCGTCTTTGTAGGCTAATAGATATCCCCACTTGTATCTCGTAGCTTCGTCGATAATCAATAGAAACTGGTTTGATTTCGATATTGTATCCACTCCAACACTGCATAGGTCGACACAAAGCTTGTGCAAGGGCTTTGCAGAGCGAGACGGCTTGCGCTTGTAGCTCATGCGCTTCGTCTTTGACTCTAAGCATGGAATGCATTCATAGAGAGCAAAATTCTTCGACTGCATGTTGATGCCAAAGTTATAGGTTCCTGCCATAGTCTTGATAGTCTCCATGTTTACGTGGCCCATGCGGTTGTGCAGCAACGTCATGGGGTTCTCAGCTTCACTGGCCTTGACGCTCATCACGTTCTTGCTCTGACGTGGCGTCCACATGCGGTACATCCCGCGGATGTACTTGAAGCGCAGCTTCAATGTGTCCTTGACCAGCCACGTAGTCTTCTGATCATGCGAGATGCGCACCTTGAAGTTTCCTTTGAATTGCATGTAGGTCTGCGAGATCAGGTTGTAGGCAGCCGACTTGGCGTAGCTCACGTCATCAAGGAGGCGCTCCTCGATCTTGCCCGTGTGCTCGTTCAGCACTTGCATAAGCACTGTGCCCACAGTTGCGCGCTCGGTTGTGCCGTTGCCGAAGACTAGCTCTGCAACTGAGTCTTCGTGTAGCTCCGTAAACAAGGTAAGGTCGCTCGAGACGTTGGTCTGCGCGCCGCTATCCAACACCCACTCCACCATGTCCTGGTCCTTGTCCTTGTCCTTGTAGTTGAAGTTGTCACGCACCGCGAGTACATGCTCTTGTCCTTCAGCTTGAGTCGGTGCAGCCGACTTGGCTGTCTTCACAGTAACCACATCGATCATCCTGCGCGGCGGGTTGCTCGAGTTGTTGTTGTTGTTATTGTTGCCACGCTGGCGGCACTCAGGATCGCCACTCCAATGTCCTTGCTCTCCGCACGTGTTGCACTTCGTCTTCGCCTTTCGCTTGGCGATGTCATCCCTCGCACTGGATGAGCTCTTGCTCTTCTGCCGCTTGTTCCGCCCACGCGGCGATGAGCTGCGGCTGCGACGATTGTTGCGGTTGTTGTTGCCTCGTGCTTGGCTGCTGCTCGAGTTTCGACGTCCTCTTCCGTCGTTGTGTCCGTCGCCACGGCCACCAACAAATGCAACATCTCGCTGGACGGCACGTCCACCTCCACCACGTCCTTGCTGTAGCTCAGTCTCTTGGCGTGAGTGGTCAGCGAGTCGAAGGCGCTCGATCGCTTGCTCCCACGTAATGGACTCATCACGTTCAATACGTACTTCATGCTCGTTTACCACCGCTGGGTACACCCCCACTGTATTTGACAATAGGATAGAGACGGTTTCCTGCTCAGGCAGCTGCTTGTTCGCGCGGCGAAGTCTCTGTTGGTAGTCGTCGATGTCACGAATGTAATCGTCAAGTCGTTCGTCACGTTGCAGGCGACGATTCAGCATATCTCGCTTGAGAAACACGCTGTTTACTCCAGGATGGTTATCAAAATGATCTTCCAGTGTTCGCCACAGTAGGATAGGATCAGCACGTTGAATAACACTTGTAAATCGCATCTGTAGCTCTTGACTAAGTCCCATCGTAAGTTCACGTTGAGCAACACGCAGTCGTTGCTTGAAACAGCCGCGCTGTCCTTCGTTACGTTGGTCTGCCATCGTTTCGCGCTCCATGATGGGGTCCAAGAGGTGTGCGACGTCGAGAATGGAGCAAATCTCGACGCGCCACGTCTGGTAGTTGGT